AGAGAGAAGGAAGCCAAAGGAATAAGAGAGGGAGGGAATCATAAATAGTGGAAGGGAAAAGGAAGCAAGGAAGGAAGGGCTAAAGGACAGAATCCCGGGAACATTTAGAATGCATGGCATTGGGGACGGATGAGAAAGGACATTTAAGGAGAATATTGGCGTGCGACTGATCAGTCAACATGTGACCTCAGACTGCTGCCTGGAAGGCTTGAAACTTTCTAAAGCCCCTGGAAGTATTCTTGGGTCTCACCACTAGGTCTTGGGCCATGGATTCCTTGGGGAAACATGTGGAATGGAAGACGGTGTTCCGAGAGCTAGCCCCAGGAGAATGTGCGTGCTATCAGCTTCTCTAGAGGATGCAGAGACCCAGAAAATAGGATTCACGGTCAACGCCCCACTAAATAATCAGATAATTAAATAAATAAAATAGGACTGTAAGCTAAAGAGTGAAAATTTTTATGATTGGTTTTATATATTGAAAAATCTTGAACTACATGTGTTCCAGGGATATAAGGATGAATATAATAAGCTACTACTCTGAGGTTTAATAAGGGAGGAAGACAGTTCAACAAGCATTGTGACTTGGGGAAGCTTACCTCCTTACATCCTCAGAGAGAAAGGAGGCACTTTCCTGTAGAATTTTGGTGTCATTCATGGAAGAAGTACACGACTTTGAGATGAACAATGCAATTGGCAACTGCATTGGGGCAAACCAACGGGAGCCTGGTAGTGAAACCCACTGCAATTTTATCACTCGTGTTGCTGGCACCAGAGATCAAGGATACCAGGTGCAACTGTATTTAACCTGCATTAGAGTTTGATAAATGAAATATGGAAGAAGGACAGAATGCCCTGCGGTTCTATCCCTAACAATTAACGCGGTGCTTTTCTGAGTCCAGGGAGGTAAGGTAAGAAAAGAGATAAGAAAGCTAGAAACAAATGAAGGAAAGGGGGATAGACTAAAAGTAAGAATTTGGGGTGAAAAAAATTTTAAAAATAAAAAAATTTAAAAAAAGAATTTGGGGCTAATCTTGAGTGGTAATCACCATGGTTTTCCCATTTCCACAGGAGATAGGGTTCTGACAGAACAGAATTAGCTTGTACCTTGGGCTGGTCTGAGCTGGGGCTCGAACATGGGGAGCACAGGGCAGAAACGATGAGTGGTCTGAGAGAAGTCTGCGTACAGGACAAATACAGAGCCTCCATGAGTGATTTCAGACTAGATGGACTTCAATCACAATCGAGCCTTATTGTGTGTGTATGTGTGTGTGGGGGGGGGGGGAGGGAAGGGGAGCAGGGAGTGGATTGGTAATCTGAGTTCATCAGAGAACTGTTCCTGCCATAGGTTCCCAGCTCTGTACCTTGGGAGCCAGTCCACATGAGAAAGAAAAAGTAAGGGAAAGCAGAGATGTTTGCAAAAACAGTTAGAGTGGTTCCCCCAATAATTTCCTCTGCATGTAACACAAATCTGGACATTTCTCTCTCCACGTGTCCAAAGAACCTTAGCAGGGCGCATGAAAGAGACTGTGACATCCTGTGGAGCAGAGGCACCCAAGGTAGGAGAGAGCTGCCGCATGAGCATCTGTCCTGCCCCTGCAGTGGAGCCGGGAGACCCGACCAAGAGAGTGGACTCTGCCTGATCCCCAGCTCTTGGGCAGAGGAAAGAGAGGCCAAGACTTTAGACTCTGAAATCAGAGTCACAGGCTCCGAGACTTACTAGTTCTGTGAAACTGATTGAGTTATTTAACTCTCTGGGCTTCTTTTCTGGGATACCCTGACCTCCCAGGGCTGCTTGTCCTTCTTCAACAAGTGTCAGTCCCACACAAAACCCCTCAGCCTAAAGGTGCTTTCTCCTCTCCAGTTCTTGCTTCTGACTCATCTTACATGGCATTTCTCCAGTCATCTCATCTATGAAGCCCCATAGCTAATTCTGGATTGCATCCACTGCCATCTTCTCATTCAGGTGCCCATTCTGTAAAAGAAGAAGATTCTGGAGTTCAAGAGAAAATCCTGAACAGCCCAAGTGAGCCATGAGCATCCCAGTCCCTTTTTCCATCTCAACTGAGACAAGAAAACGTGGCTCACTTAAGTGCAGGCCTCTCGGTTGAGAACCATAAGAGGTCAACTGGAGGTTTCCCAGAAAGATGTCCCACTCTTGCCTCTTGTCAGGATCGTCTGTTCCTGACATTGACGATACTCCTGCTCTCTCCAGACTCAGAGACAGACCCAGACACAAGTGTGTTGGAGTTAGGTAGGGAGAATAACGGAAATTTCCCAGCTTTCTCTGCTGTCATCAAGTTGCTAAAGTCACCTGCTAGAGCCTTTGGACCTTGAGACTTATGGACATGTGACACAATAAATTTCCTTATCACAGAAATGTTTGAAAATAGTTAATCATTAAATATCGGTACTCATATCTCAATTGGGCTGGAGCGATAGCATAGCAGGTAGGGCGTTTGCCTTGCACGCGGCCAACTTGGGTTCAATTCCTCCGCTCCTCTTGGAGAGCCCGGCAAGCTACCGAGAGTATCTTGTTCGCACGGCAAAGCCTGCTAAGCTACCTGTGATGTATTCAATATGCCAAGAACAGTAACAAGAAGTCTCACCATTTGTTGTGAGACATTACTGGTGCCTTCTCGAGCAAATCAATGAAAAACAGGAGGACAGTGCTACATGTCTCAATTATAACCCCATGTAAGAACTTGGTTCTTACATATTTTCTGTCACAGCGTTTGCTACAGCTAGTACCTCACTATTTGTTTGGTGTGTTTTCTCTCTAGCTGCTGTCTCTAGCTGCTGAGATCAATATAGATTTTATTCACCACCGAATTCTCAGTTTTTAACACCAGGTCAGAGGCATAGTGGTTGCTTAAGCACATTTTTGAAAGAATGACTGAAAGTCTAAGAAAGAAGTCTATTTTCCACTCTTTCTGCCCTTCACAGTTCCTCTAGATGGAACTGACAGAATCTCACTAAGATAGAATCTAACACCCAATACCCCAAACTCTAACAGTTGGGTTACCCTGGGCATCACCAGTGATTTTTAAACTCCGACCTCAGGAACAGTAAGCAAAGACAAAGGACATGGTTGACTCAGTACGAAACATTTCTGGAACATATTTATAATACGATGTACTTGATATTTATAATGTGATGTACTTGATATTTCTGTTCCATTGTATTTCATTTTAAAATGCATGCTCTGATCTGCTAATTAGCAACTCACAGTTCCCAAACACACATACAAAAAAAAAAAACTGGAATAAATGTAATGCAATGTAAGTACTTTGAAAATATCTGATTTCCTCCTTTGCTGTTAACTGTTCATAAAAATCCCCCCCATTGACTGAACACTCTATTATTATAGGGATTTAACCATGACTTAATCATTTTCCCCTCTCCTGTGTAAATTCTTCTCCATCTCTCAGTCGGGTGATTTTGAAGGCCTGCATGAAATGAAAAAACGCTGGCGTATGTTCATGAGAAATTACTTTGTGCTTTCTCTCTCCCCCCCACCCCCCACCCCCTGCCCCAATTAGCACAAAACCCAACAGAACTGCATTCTTCCACCTCTGGAATTTAATGGCTCCGTTCAGCTAAACATATTTTATGGAGGCCTCATTTCTATACGAGTTTATGTAAGTCCTAGTGCAGACCTCCGCTCCCGGAACCCCACCGCCGCCGCCGCCCTGTGGTTTAAAATCAGAGCGTTGGGTTCGAACATTCTCTGGAGGCGCCCTGAAATAGACCCTCACTGTAATTCACATCCCGCAGCACAGAAACTGCCCTTGTCCTTGGTGTCTTCGCCAGGGAAATTCCTCTTGGGGCAGGAGGAAAGGGAGAAAGCCACACCAAGGTCTCCCAACTCCAGACTCCAGAGCACAACAAATAAAGCGGTGTGTGTGTAGGGGGTTAGGGGGTGGTGGAGAGGGGGTGTGTATACGTATATTTAGAAAGCCACAATGCAAGCCTGGGCTGGGAGGAATAACAACATGCAAGCAAAGGACTACTGGAAAGAGTATTTCCAGTCTGAGTGATCAAGAATCCTCGTGCAGGGCTGGAGAGATAACACAGGAATTTAGGTGATTGCTTTGCATGCAGTTGCCTCGGGGTTCAATCCCTGGAGCCCCAGAATGATTCCTCAAGTTCCACCCGGACTGATCCCTGAATGCTGAACCAGAAGTAAGCCCTGAGAGAACTGCTGGGTGTGATCGCCTCCCTTCCCCTCGGCAGCCCCCCAACTTTGAGAAATGCAAAAAATAAGGAAACAAGAATACTTCATCCAAAGGCAGACCTCCGTGCGGATGTCCTAAGCTGGGAGGTCACTCGGGTTCCTTGGAGCTCCGTTCAAACCCCGCACCCCCGCACCCCCAACATCACGGAACTTGGTAAACTTGGAACAAGTGGCAGCTCCAGAGCACTGAAAAGAGAGCGCACGGCCAACGTGCCCGAGCCACAGAATTCCGGGAGGACGTCGGCGGGAGCAGGGAACAGAAGGTCCAGGACACGTGCGTGCGCTCAGAGAGCACGGTGAGATGAGAGATTTTGCAAAAAAAACGGGGTGCGGGGGGGGGGGCGGGGAAGGAAAGAAAAAAGGAACGAATTCAGCAACTTTCCTCTGTCCTCGTCCGCCCACACTTAAAATAGAAATAATCACACACACACAGACACAGACACACACACACACACACGCACGCACGCACACACACACGCATACATACACACACGCACACGCGCGCGCGCGCCCCCAAAGGCGATGCCAATCCCGACTTCAGTGGCCCGGCACGGGCCGAGGGGCATCAAGTGCAGACTCGGGACGTCGCGCGCGGAGTCGAGCTGGGGGCCCCGGGCGGGGGTGCGCGGGGGGTGACCCCACCCTCAGGGCCTCGTCTCGCGGCGCCCGCGTTGACCCCCGCCCCGTCCCGCCCCTCCTCCCCGCCCGCCTCCTGCCGCCGCCGCCGCCGCCGCCGCAGTTCGGGCCTCCCTCCCTCCCTCCGCGCGCCCGCCCGCGCCCCGGTTCCCACGTCCCCCGCCGCCAGCCCCGAGACCACGCGCGCACGGACTGGGGGTCGCGCCGGCGGGGCCCGGCCGCGCACCTGGAAAGTTCCCCGTCGCCTGGTGAGCTGGGCCAGCCCGAGGGGCCCGTGGGGGGCCGGGGGTCGGGGTGCGCGGGTGCCTGCGTGTGCCCCCTGCACGCTCTGCCAGCGCTGCCCGGTGCTCGGCGCGGCCGCCGCGCGCGGTGGGGAGGCCACGGGGTTTGAAGAAACGGGGTGCAGGGCGCCAGGGGCACCCTCAGCCGCGCGTCCTGAGGGTTCTCCTTTAGCTGGGGACTCGTTCTGGGCCGGGATGGTGGTAGGATTTGGAGGTGGGTGGGGGGAGGGTTGCTGGTCCGCGCGGCCAGAGCGTGCGCTCCGAGCACTTCAGCTCCATCAGGCTCTGGGCAGGTAGTGGGGGTGACGCGTGCTCAGGCCAAGACTTGCTGGGTGTCCTGGTCAACTTGTGTGGGTGTCTTGTGTCTCTCTCTCTCTGGGCACGGCGGCGAGGAGTTGCCCACCTTTCTGGCTGCGATGAAGAAACAAGAGCAAGCAGAGCAAAACAATCTGTCAGTGGCTCGGAGCTGCGGGGCGCGGTGGGGGAGAGACAGGGGGTCGAGTTGGAAGAGCGCTAGGGTGGGAGTAAAGGCGCCGCGGTGGAGGCCAGGGCTGAGACGAGAATAGAAAGAAGCCAGCCAGGGAAGAAGGAATATTTAGAAGGAATGACGCTCTGACAAACTGAGGCTCTTGAAGCCATGGTTTTCAGAGCCCGATCCGGAGCGTGCAGGCCTCTCTTTCTGGCCATGCACCTGTTTTCGCCCGCCCCTCCAACTTCGGAGTCGTCCAATGTTTCTTTGTTCTAAGTTTCTGTCTAACTCCTGGAGAGGGCGACTCTCCCGGATGACACTTGGTCGCTGTCACAGTGCTCCTTGTTTGCTCTGGAACGGGAGGGAGGCTAGGAGCTAGAGCGGTGGGGATTTGTTTCTGAGAATTAGGAGAAAACCTTTCCATTGGAGCACTGTATAGCGCTGTCCTCCCGTTGTTCATCGATTTGCTCCAGCGGACCCAGTAACGTCTTCATTGTGAGACTTGTTGTTACTGTTTTTTGGCGTATTGAATACATCATGGGTAGCTTGCCAGGCTGGCAAGATACTCTGGGTAGCTTGCCGGCCTCTCCGGGAGGGATAGAGGAATCAAACCTGGGTTGGCTGGGTCGGCCGCATGCAAGGCAAACGCCCTACCCGCTGTGCTATTGCTCCATGGGAGATCAATGTTAAATAGAAGTGAGAGCAGGGGGAAGGATGGTGCCCAGAGCTGTTTCTATTAGTGAAATACTTCTAGACTGCTCGAGAATCCTTGTGTTGCAAGGCTAATTCGCAGGAAAGGCTTATGGTGCCAGGATGTCACCCAGGGCTTCTGATTCCTTATTATCTTGTTTCCTCTGGGCTATTTTCCTATCAGTGAAACCCCTTTCTCTTGTGCTCTGATTTCTGTCTTCACTAGTCGATTGTTCTGGGATTACAAATGCTCTCAGATTTCCACTAATTTAAAAACTCAGTGCCTGGACCATGATACCATCTTGGAATGGCCCTTGGGCGCTGGGTCCCTGTACCACATCTGCCACATAAGCCTCACTTCAGTGTTTTCCCCTTTCATCTCTTTTGATCTGACATGCCTGTGGGGTGGGAACTGCAGCCTGCTCACCTTGTAAAAGAACTCATCTTCGTGTCTTCTTTGAAACTTCCTTTTCAGATTTTGTTTGCTTCCCTTCTTTCATAAGCAGCATCCCCAGATATTATCTACACATGCTTATATAATACTGGCATTGCTTTTTGTCTTCCTTTAGTGATCTCATCTCCTCCTTTGATTTTATTTTGGTTTGGGGAGCCATATCCAGCAGTACTGGGCCTCCTCCTACTCCCTGGGGATCTTGAGCGTGTTGGCTCAATGAAAGTACCTTAACTCCTGCACAAATTCTAATAAACATCTTACCTGACCCCTGTGAAGCTCTCTGACCAAGACCTTTTTTCTTTGCTACTGTTTCCAGGCATCTGGATGACTCACAAGCACCTTTCACTTAGTATATCTTCACTCATGACCCTTTCCATGAAGTGAGAAGGTCTGTGTTACTTTGCACACAGTGTCACGGTGCCTAACCCACACATGGTTCTCTATGTTGAGTAAATGGATGAATGAATGACTTAATAGGGTTACCTTTCTCTAGAGTCTTCAAAGATCAAAACATCGAGATCATTTTTGACTCCTTTCATGTGCTCAATGGTTTTACCATCACATAGAGATTTTTCCCTTTGAAGAGTTACCCCACCCCATTATTACTTCTCATCCTTTACTGCTTATCCACATTCTCAGTTTACAAGGAAATCATTTTTTTTTACCACATCTATTTTTTTTCTTTCAAACTTCACCTGGACCCTGACAATCTTCCTCTCCTCCGTGTCAGCCTCCTGGCGATCTCATCTCTTTCTTCAGCTTTAGCCTGCATTTATGTAATAGTGATTGCTAAATATTTTCAGCTTCCTTCTGTCACTTGGTTTTCTTACTATTACTTAGTCCTTTTCTTACTATTGAACTTCTCTGCCCTTAAGTTTCTATAGGCCCTTTATGCCAAGCATTTCTAAAGTATGACTTACTGTTTTGATTTTCAAATCTGACTTATTATTATTTTGGTGAAAAGGAGAGAGAGAACATAAGGGAATGCCCTGCCACAGAGGAAGGATGGGATGGGGGAGATGGAGGTTGGGAGGGATACTGGGACCGGTGGTTGTGGAAAATGGGCACTGGTGGAGGGACTGGTATTTGATCATTGTATAATTGAAACCCAAGCACAAAAAATTGTAAGTTTACAACTGTACCTCATGGTGTTTCACTAAAAAAATTAAAATAAATAAATAAATAGATGAGACAAAAATATTATTTTGGTGAAATGAAGTCACCTTTCACTTAGTTATCATAACAGAAACTTTGAACTCTCTTACTGGTTGCCATCACATCCAATGGATGGGTTCATCACATCCAATTTGCTGACTTACACCTATAGAACTACTTTTTGTGTGCTCACCTGTCTTTCTGACATTCTAGCATTTCCAAAAAATTACTGAATGGAATGCCCCAAATCTGACAATTACAGTGTGATCTGTAATTGGCATGTATAAAAAAATGTGCCATGAACATTTTGCACTTGAAAGTAGGGGCACTTTAAAGAAGGTGGTCAACCTCTGGAGTAGCTGGACCTAGAACAATAAAAAAGCTCATATGACTGTCTGACAAGAGAAAATCACTTTCCAAATTAAGATACTGTGGACAGAGAAAACAAGCAGTGGATTCAATACCGAGCCTTAGGTCAACTGTCACAAGGTCAGATGAACAGATGCTTTTAATTGTGGCTTTGAGATGGAATTGAGCTGTTTCCTCACAAGGACAGCTCTGTGTGGTTTGCTGCAGGAGAAGGAACAGGGATTTAAATATCCAGTGATGGTTAATTATTTTCTAAAAGAACTTTAGTGAGACAAAGAGTAACCCTAAATGCACCCCAGTATGTTTAGAAAACTATAAAAGCCTGCATAATTTCCTCCTCTGATTTTAGGCTAGACAACTCACATCATTAAAAAAAATTCTTCCCTACTTTTCATGATTTATTGAGGGGAAGGAAATGGTAGAGTTATCTACAAGCAGAGTGTTTACCAAATCTATGACTGTGTCCTTTTCCTTCTCACCACCTTGGAGATGGTCCTTTTTTTTTTCTTGAGTACAAGAAATTGAAGACATTAGAATAGGGTTGGGAATACTGTCTGGCCATAACCCAGTTCTCATCAATTGTTATTTGGATATGAGAGGAATAAGAAATGATTCCATATTTACTGCCAAGAAAACTAACTCTCTGTAGAACAAATGTGACCATACAATGTAAAAGGTTTCACTTACAGTACAACCCAGATACCATAGAACGGCATATAGTGTTTTTAGTACTTTTTCTCAGCTAGTTCACTTCTATCCTGTGTCATCCACCATGCATTTCGCCCTTTCCCTGAATATGCTGTTTTTTGTGTGTTATAGAGTTTCCTTTTACTCTCCTCCTCACTGTTTTCCTGTTCTTCACTTTTTGCTTGTATATATTTGTTATAATTAATGAACCAATGTTGATACACAATTACTAACTCTCGGAGAGCCCGGCAAGCTACCGAGAGTATTCGATATGCCAGACACAGTAACAACAAAGTCTCCAATGGAGACGTTACTGGGCCCGCTCGAGCAAATTACTAACTAAAGCACACAATTTACATTAAGGCTAATTTCTTGTATTGTACATTTTGTAACTTTGGACAAATATATAAACATATATCCACCGTTAAAGTATCACAAAGAACAGTTTTACTGCCCTGAAATTCCCACTCTTCACCCTTTCTTTCCTTCTTTACTCTTCCAGAGAAGATTATCACTGACTTCTTTTTTTAAAATATTTTTTATTAGTGAATCACCATGAAATACAGTTATATACTTACAAACTTTTGTGTTTGTGTTTCAGTCATACAATAATCAAGTACACATCCCTCCACCAGTGCCCATTCTCCACCACCAATGTTCCCAGTATCCCTCCTGCCACCCTCTTCCCATTTCCCCCACCCCACCTCTGTGGCAGGGCATTCCCTTTTGTTCTCTTTTTCCTTTTGGCTGTTGTGGTTTGCAATAGAGGTATTGAGTGACCATCGTGTTTGGTCTATAGTCCACTTAAAGAACACATCTCCCAACCCAAGTGGGTCCTCCGAACACCCTTTACTTGGTAGTCCCTTCTTATTCTGAGCTGCCTTTCCCCCCAAGCATAAGGCCGGCTTCCAAGTCATGGGGCAAACCTCCTGGTCCTTATCTCTACTATTCTTGAGTATTAGTCTCCTATTCTGTTACTTTATATTCCACAGATGAGTGCAATCTTTCTATGTCTGTCCCTCTCTTTCTGACTCATATCACTGACTTCTTTATTGTCTTCAAGTTTTGTTTTATCCAGAGTGTCACACAGTTAGAATCATCATATAGTATGTAGGTTTATCAGATTGACTTCTTTCGATCATC